CCGGGAAAAACCGGCGGGGGGGGGGCAGTTTTCCCCCCCCCCCCCCCCCCCCGCGCCTGCTGGCTAACACGCCAAACATCTCCCCAATGAAAAATATTTTTCTACGCCACTGCCGCAAACGCCGCGCTGTGTAACAGCCTATTAATTAATTAAGTATACAATTATTGTTTGTTTACCTTGGCATTCGACACGAAACTAAAAGATGGCTTGCTATATGTACTGTGCTGAAGTGCTGAAAATGCTTTAATAAATCATGGGAACAGGGACGTAGCCAGGATTTTTTTTAAGGGTGTGGGGAGCCGTTATGCGAATTACTTAGGACCCGGCGGGGTCAAAGGGGCGAATCCCCCTGTGAAGTAGCGCACTCTGAACGTTCTTAGGACTGTTTGAGAGGATAAAGTGAGACGCATTATAAATAAGCGCAAAAATAATTATATAATAAATCAACAGTGGCAGATCCAGGAATTCGAAAGCGAGGTGAACCAGGGAGGGACATTCACAGACTGAGGACCCACTCACCTCAGCCCCACCATGGTTGGGGCTGAGGTAAGAAAATTTGAGGAAATAGTACCTCTTGAGATGGCCGGAAATGACACTTTTATATAGTAAAATTCATCATCATCACATCACCATTATAGTCAAAATGAAACGCCAACAAATTTCTCATGATCTTTTATCAGGGATCTGCTTAATATCCAGGACAACTTAGGCCTAACTATAGCTTACTAAGCTTTAACTATATATACTATATTTTAATCAACAAATCACAACTTTTTTTCGCATTTAGCACAATTTTCTTCATTTTTTATTGCAATTAATATTATTATCAATTATTACTATCGTCATCATCATCATCATCATCATTGTTGTTATTATTATTATTAGTAGTAGTATTATTAAACAAAAATTTAAAGAAACTTGGAAAAGGATGAAAACGAAATTGAACCACAGTATCGCATTTCTATCTTAAAAGAGCTCGCCTGAGATTTATGGATTTAAGATTTTTTTAAATCACGCTTAGGCCTATGTGTTCTATTAGGCCTATGTATAAAGTGTACTGATGCATATTTACATGTTTTAGAAGTATTCATTTTGAGTGATCCCAGGAAAAAATTTGTATTGGCTCAAGAATAAGTTTTAAAATTTTAACACTGTGTACAGAGGGGGAGGGGGCCGCGGCTCCCACGGCTCCCCCCTGGATACGTCCCTGGATGGGAATTGCCAATGAAGTTATAATCATGCCCATAAACAAAGCTGACATTTACAGCAGCAACACTATACATTATGAAAAGAAGACAAATTATTTTTAATAAGAATATATTTTGATTTAATATATTTTTTTAAAAAGAAAAACGGTGTTATAGTCGTATAAAACAGTTTATCAACGAAAAAATATAATATATAAACACTTATTAAACATTATATAGGCCTATAAGGCCTATATATTTTCCTAGATTAAAAGGCAAAATAAAAATATATACACACACACACACATATATATAATTATATATATACATTTAAAAGTAAAAGCTGATCATGTAAACCATTTTGAAAAAAAGAAAACCTTTATTATGCTCGAAGCCAGTCAGTCGTCAACTCTTTGTTTGCATGATACGAGTGAGTGAAGATCATGCAGGCATGTATGTGTACGCTAATAAGTATTTTTTTGTTAAACTTCCGCTTTGACTACGGTACAGTACTGCACTATGTATGGCAACATTTTATAAATCATGGTGGCATTACACAAAGCTCATTTATTAAGAATGCAAAACGATACGATAAAACTTAATTGCCTCAAAATAAATTATAGTATTGATACATTTAAAAAATTATGAAAATTGTCTATTCTATTACAACAATAACAATTACTATCAACATGTGCAAGACCGCTGCTCACTTGGACTCGAATTCAAACCCTGGCCATCAGACGCAAGCTCGGTGATCTAGAGGTATGATGCCAGGCTAGTGATCTGGAGATCGTGGGTTCAAATCCCATCCGAGAACAAAAAAAAAAATCGAATTTTCATGGCCTTGATCTTGTGTCCAAAATGAATAAATGCCTAACAAATACATACAATTATCAGTGTGCTGTCTGCGATTGGAATGTTTTACTGATATTGATGGTAGTGTTGAGAGACAGTAATCGGTCGACTAACTTCGATGCATATCGACTATTGGGCCTGGGTCGTCTAAAGTTAGAGGCTCAAACCCAGCGTTTTCATGACCGACCATTTGACCTCTCGTAGTTCTATAATTGATCGATCCATCCGCTAATATCTGGGCTTGTGATCTCTTTATGATTTCATCCCTCTCCCTCTTGCACACGAGATCAATGATTACAACACCAACAAACATAACAAGAATAAATCCTCCAACAAAAATCGCCGCCATATTGTTACCTGTTTCAAACTGTTGACATTTTGTAGAATCTCCCAGAGTGGCATTGTTAAAAGTGACACAGACATTGTACCGCGTATCTGCTTCCAATTCCATCAGTACAAACATTGTGTCTTGCACCACCTCTGACATGATAACATCTACAACACCACGATATAATGTAAGGTTAAAAGCTATTGGACTGTCTGTGCTTACGCTTGATGTCCAAGCGATGCGTGCGCTTCTTGGTTTGACGTCAGAGACAAGAACCTGTTGAATCTGATTGCAGGCTACGAGGTAACTTGTCGATGACAGCAACAGCAATCCAAGTATCAACATCATTTTTTCTATATCTGAAATATATCACATCATACACTAAATAAACAAAATTATCTTCCAAAGTATAGGCCCTAATTATTTACTTTGTTTTTCAAAAATGATTAAGATAAAATTAAATATTAATTAATGTTTTTCTCTAATATATTTAAAATTTAAACTACTTTTCAAATATATATATATATATATATATATATACATATATAAATATTATGTAAATATATTACATTATATATATATCATATATATATTTATATATATATATCCCTTTCTTTGATGATTATTATATAATTTAACAGTGTTAACGGCTATCTTGATTTATATTATATTATATTTATATATATTTGATTCAATTGCTTAACATTTATTCTTTGTTACTTTACTGCGTCTGTTGGTCAATTTATTCCATTGGCCTATTTTATATCCACCGTAAGCCTCTATTGTCTTTGTATTTTGTATTTGTTTTCCTATCTGGCATAGCTTGATAAAGGTTTACCGAAAGTTCTCGCTAAATAATTTCAATAAATTTGTGGCAAATTATATAACATCTTTGAGTTTTATTTTATGTATCATTTGCCTGTGCAGCCTTCTTACATCATCGTACAATATATATATATATATATATATATATATATATATATATATATATATATATATATATATATATATATATATA